TTGTCAAGGTTTATATTTTTTGTTGTTTTAAATGTTGATTTGAAGTGTAGGTTTTTGCGTTATTATTACTACATTCAAACCTGAACACAGAAAGCAGTTTGTTACACAAAACATTAAAATTCTATAAAAATAAAAACCTCTTATTTCAGTCTTCTGACTCATTTTGGCTATATGATTATAGCCATACCAATTCATTTGAGTATGTATAATTCTGTATGTGTGTCAAGTCAAGTCACCTTTATTTATATAGCGCTTTTAACAATACAGATTGTGTCAAAGCAACTGTACAGCATTAATTAGGAAAATATTGTGTCAAAAATGCAAAATGACAATAGTAAACACTCAATTTTCAGTTAAAGGCAGTTCATCATTGAATTCAGTGATGTCATCATCAGTTCAGTTTAAATAGTATCTTTGCAATAATTTGCAATCAAGTCAACGATATCGCTGGAAATGATATCGTTGACTTGATTGCACAGATACAATTTAAACTGAACTGAGCTGTTGCAGTGTTACAGTCACACCAGTTCATAGGTGTGTGTGTGTGTGTGCGTGTACAAGTACAAGTGTGTGTCCGCGCGTGTGTGAGTTGGTGTTGATTTTGCACTCTAGATGTTTTAGAGTTTCACCCCTTCATTGCTGTGCAATTTTTTTTCTGCATTATGGGGGATTTGTAGATTGTACACACAAAAAATTTCTGTATTTTCGATTTTTTTTCCCCATTTCCCATTCATTTCCTATGGTCGGTCATTTTTGACCGAAGACCATGTGTGACTTTTTTGTTTTTTTACGACCACTTAGCTTTTTCAAATCATACCCTCAATTTTTTTTTTGTGTTCACATACCAAGTGCCATAAAAGTCACCAAGTTTCGTACCATTCTGGTGAAGCTAAGATTTTAAAAAATTTGAAATGTAAAATTGTGACCGAAGACTGCACAAGGGTTAAAGGAATTGTTTATTCAAAAATTATGTAATTTACTCACTCACATGTCAGTCCAAACCTCTATGACTTTCTCCTGTGGAAGAAGAATGACTCAGTTGCTGAATAAGTCAGTGAAGAATGAATCAGTCAATCTTTTCCATGGAATTGGCATCTGGAGCTTTTTAATCTTGCAAAAAGCACCATAGAAGTAGTCCATATGACTTGTGTACTATATTCCAAGTCATTTAATAGCTTTGTGAGGTTGAAATTTCAAAGTTATTAACTGAAAACCTTCTCCTTTTGCGAGTTAATCTCAAGACCAAGATTTGTCTGAATCTGTTAATAATTTTTTTTTGGTCAATGATTCATTCAGACCAGTGTTGTGAACTGAATCAACTTTCATGGTGTTGAATCTGAGCAATAAGCCGCAAGAGGGTAATATCACTAATACATAGCTTTTGTAGCTTGAAAATGTTCAACAAAAATTTAAGTCATTACTAAAATCACAGTAATCTAGTTTATAAACTGTAGACTGTTTATAGTTGTCAAGCAACATGACTCTTTAAGGGAATTGCTTAATTCAAAAATGCATATTCTGTAATTTACTTACGTCAATCCAAATCTGTACATCTTTCTTACTTATGTGAAGAAGAATGAATCAGCAACCTGAATGAGTTAGTGAAGAATGAATCAGTCTCTATTTTCCATATATTTAGCAATTGGAGCTTTTTAAGTTTGAAAAAAAAAGCACCATAAAGAAGCCTGTACGGCTTGTTCACTATATTCCAAGTCATTTCATAGCTTTGTGAGATTGAAGTTTGTTATTCAATGAAAATCTCCTCCAGTGGTTGTGACCGGATCATTACATTATTGGGTTGAGCACAAGAACCAGGTTGGTTTAAATTTGTGATTTGTGAATGAATCACTCAGACCAGTTTTGTGAACTGAATCAACTGATTCATCAATCTAATTAGTTATGAATCATACATGGCTACTTCTCCTAATGAACATGCCAAGTAGAGCTAGGGAAGTCAGCTAGGGTAGAGCTAGGGCAAATGCCAAGATTCAGTTCATTATTTCGGTCTATTTGTCAAACTAAAATTGTTATATGGCTTGAAAGATTTTAAATAAAGAGCATGAGTCACATATTAGCCTCTTTAACATCATTTTTTGAAGCCTGAAAGCTCCAGTCCCTGTTTATTGCAGTTGTATGGAACATAGCAACCAGTTCAACTCAAATTACTCTTGTCATTTTCCAACAAAGTCATACGAGTTTGGAATGAGAAAATCATGGATATTGGGTGAACTATTCCATTCATAAAGAATTAATTGATGTGTGGTCACCAGGTGTGCACCTGTCGGCATATTTTATAAATGGCTTTGAACCTGAGACGTGGAGGAATGACCTGAATGAGCAGTGATTTGTTTCACGAGTTGCAGACTTGACTCATGATTATTGAATGATCTCTTAGGTCGCTTATTCTCGCACACGGCACAATAACCCCCTTTTTCTCTACGGGGTCAGAAAACAAGGTGGCAAAGCCTCTCTTTGTGCCACAAACAGGATTTCTCCTGCATTCTGTAAAGCTGCTTTATGCAGCAGCTCTCTGTGTGTGTGTGTGTGTGTGTGTGTGTGTGTGTGTGTGTGTGTGTCCGTCCGAAGCTTTGGAGTGATGTGGAAATGTGGAGAGCTAAATGGATCAGGAATCTCTCCAGTGCTGCGGCCAGTGACATATGGCCCGGCCCATGACCGGCAGGGCACTGCATGCTTCATTTGTGGTCAAAGAGGGTTATTTGCTTTGCTTTTGCAGCTTTTTTCCCTCCTGCCAGCTCTTTCCTGTCGTTCTCCATCCGTCTTTTTTTTACTTGAAGCCCATCCGGGTTCTCTCTCGGCCCCACATCAGCTGTTCTTCCTGCTGCAATGCAGAGGTTTACTGACAGTTTGCTCAGAGTTTGAGCAGAGAGGTTTTTGCCAGTTTAACCTGCTACCAGTCTGATTCACATTTGTGGGCCACATTCATTAAATGCACATTTCTGTGTAAATTGTTTGTAAAATCATTAATTGAAGGTTTTCTTAACAGACTCCATGATTAACTTCTAATTCTAAGTTAACAAAAAATGTTTTTTTAACAGTATATTTTTGTCACAAGTGATATTACATTTTTATAATAATAATTTTTTATAAAATAAAAATGATATTAAAACAGGTTGCAACAATTGATATTTTTTACTTGCAAACCCCCTTTTTTCTTTTCTTTTTTTTTTTGGTTATCCAGCTAGATAATGTTGTCTTGGTGAAATTTTAATCGGCTAAATTTTCAACAGTAATGTTTATCACAGAAAACCAAATGCATACATTCGCAAGGCTTAAAAACATGATCAACAAACATAAGGGGTAGCGAGTTTGTCTGTTTGTATTTTTTTCATTTGGTGACTACTTTTGAAATTGCACACTTCAATTTTGAATAATAAATGTTTAAAAGGACAGTTCACCCAAAAATAAAAATTGTCATCATTTACTCGCCTTCATGTCAATCCAAACATGTATGACTTACTTTCTTCTAAAACACTCCAAAAATACACTACTGTTTAAAACTTTTGGGTAAGATTTTTTTTTTTAAATGTTATGCTCACCAAGGCTGTATATATATTTGATCAAAAATACAGTAAAAACAGTAATGTTGTGTAATATAAAAATAGAGAAAAGTTATTTTAAATTATAATGATATATTAAAATTTTTATTTATCCCTGTGACGTCAAAGCTGCATTTTCAGCATCATTACTCCAGTCTTCAGTGTCACATGATCCTTCAGAAATCATTCTAATATGCTGATTTACTGCTCAAGAAACATTTCTCTTTATCATCAAAGTTGAAAACAGTTGTGCTGTTTAATAGTTTGTGAAAACCGTGATGCATATTTTTCCAGGATTCTTTGATGAATAAAAAGTTTAAAAGAACAGCATTTATTTGAAATAGAAATGTTTTGTAACATTATAAATGTCTTTACTGTCACTTTTGATCGATTTAATGCGTCCTTGCAAAACTATTAATTTATTGAAAAAAAAAAAATCGTACTGACCCCACACTTTTGAACGGTAGCGTACATGCGTTTATACGTCTAAAAGTTTACTGTTGACAGTCAGTTTGATTTTGTCTCTAACCACAGACCTCAGCAGCAATTGTGAGCGTGGTCTTCAGCACGTGGTCCTCAGTTGAGTATCTACGGTCGTTCGAGAGCATGTATTCTTCATTGTGTCTTCAACCTTGGATCTGACCTTCTTCTTAACTATATTTCAGCTCTAATGTACTGCAGTAACAGATAGACTGAATTGCTTTGACGATGCGCAAGCTGCATGCAAACATGCCTAGAGCACGCTCTCTCTCTTTCTCTTTACTCAGTGCTTCATCAAAATAGCTCCTTGTCCTTCCTTCCCCTCCCCAATCCCTCCATCCTTATTAAGAAACGAGCAAGAGAGAAATCAAGAGATGGAGGACTACATTAGCTGTGCGGTAGGTGCGTGGAGTGGCACACAGAAGTCTCTTCCAGCCAGGTCTGGCTCTCTGGGGCATAATGTGTGTATCAGCATCATTTAGCACATACTGTTTAAAGAGTCGGGAAAGGTCATGGCTGCGAGGGGAAGCCTGTGGTGGGAGGGAGGGAGGAAGAGGGGTGAGAAAGTGAGTTGATTAATGTGTTGAATAAAGAATGCAGTTTGCCGGCTAATGATCTAATGGCTTCGTGGTGTCTGTGCATACCACGCACGTCACACACCAGAGCTACTGTTGCCTGCAAGAAAACAAAGACTGCTGAGAACACCTGCAGCATGTATGTTGGTTTGATCTGCTGGTGACCAACATGTGTGTGTGTGTGTGTGTTCTTTTCCATAGAGGAAGACGTGGAAAATTTCGAAATGGCAAGCTTGCCCCAGGATACACAACGAAACATTGAAGCCGACAGCTTTTGGTGCATGAGCAAATTGCTGGATGGGATACAGGTATTTGATTCACTTGAGGTTTGACTGGTTAGATGGGAGATCTCATAACCATCTTTCTCCAGTGATTTCCATTCAAAAGTAGCCATTCATGCTAATTATTATTATTATTATTATTTTTTTTATTTTTTTTTGCACAAGCAGTTTATAAATCCTAACTATTTGATTTCACCCTTGTCGTTATAGTTTTCTTTTTCTTCCTCTTCTTCATAATAATAATCTTTATTGTTACTTTGTTACAATCTTTATTGTTAGATTTTTTTATAAACATATATATTCATATATAAATAAATGTATCATTAAATTTCATTCATGCATCATCATTTCTTTCTGCCTTCCTATTCTTATCCTTTTAATTCTATAACATTTCTATTAATAATAATAATAATAATAATCTTTTTTTATTGTTACTGTTCTTATTTTCTTCAAAAGCAAAATTCTTCTTTTCTTCGATGATAATCATTTTATTGTTACTGTTAATATTTGAAATATTTTTTATAAACATATGTAAATATATAAATAAATGTATACTAAATATATACATTTCTAATTTATACTCATACAAAATAATTTTTCTTCCTCTTCTTTTCCCTCCTCCTCCTCCTCCTCCTCAAAATAATAATAATAATATTAATAATCCAATTCAAAATAATTTAATATTTTTTGTTGGTGTACTGTTACTGATATTTGATATAATTTTTAAATAATTTTCAAATATAAATTTCATTGGCATCATCTTATTCTTAATTCTATTGTATATTTCTTAATTATTTTTAATTTTTTTATTTTAAGGAGACAAAATTCAAATCCCATACTTCACAAAGTTCAAATAAAAAACATTATGCACCAGCCAAGCTACTGCCATTAAGACAGTAATGGTAATAGCTTTCTCCAGGCATTATAGACCTTCTCGGTCCATCCTCAGTTTCCTGAGGACAGCATCTCAGTATCATCATCTTCATCTCTTCTGTGTCTTTTTATTAAAACTAAACCCTGTAGTGGTCATCCTGTCCTTTTGTTCTTTTCCAAAAGCCAGAGGCAAGTTGAATGCAATGCAATAAAAAAAAAGACACTGACGGACCGAAAAAAGGTGCTGACTTTGTTGTGCTTAAGCCCCAGAGGATACGACACGTAGCGTCTAGGGAAGACAGACATAAAAACTTGGAGAGGAAGTTGAAGCTAGGACATTTAAGCTAGGGGGATTCAGATTCAGGCTGTGTTCCCTTGAGAACGGCCCTCTGTTAGAGTGAGGCGAGCGTGTGAGGGCACTCATCTGCAGGCGGGAGCAAGGGTCAGATGCAGGCCGCAGTCAGGTTGTCCCGTGGGCCGCTCTGTGTTGTGCTCATTGGCTGAGTGGAGCTGAGCTGAAGGGCAGAACACGCGCATGGATCAGAACACAGAATGTGTCTTCCCATGCAGTCGTCCCCCTGGGCTAAAACACACAGCAGACGGCCACTGGCCCTTACTGACCCACAAGGGATGAGGAACAGAGATAGAGAGATGGAACTACATTAGTTATGAAATAACTATAAATGTGACGTTATAGTGCCTACAGTTCATTACAGTTTGTTTTTTTGCACAAGCAGTTTGTAAATCCTAACTATTTAATTTCACCCTTGTCGTTACTGTTTTCTTTTTCTTCTTTTTTTTTAACTATTTATTTTTTTTATTAATTTTTTTGTTAAATTTAAATTTTTTGTTTTTTTATATTTTATTTTCAACTCTGCTTCAGTTCAACCTTTCAACATGCAGCCAACAATTTTTTTTTTGCAAGCAGTCTATAAATAATATTTATTTGTTTGTTTGTTTATTTAAGTGCTCTTAAAAGCATTTTTACAGGTTTAGTTTTAACAATTACCACAGAATAAAATGTGCCCTTCCATAACACTAATTGCAGTGCTTTTCATGTGTAGCATGATGCTTGTATTGAGCGATTTAAGCTCTTATATACGTCATGTGAAAGAGCCTTAACAAGTTGACAGAATAATTGAAAGTGAAAGTGACGTGACATGTGGCCAAGTATGGTGACCCATACTCGGAATTAGTGCTCTGCATTCATCCCATCCAAAGTGCACACACACAGCAGTGAACACACACACACCGTGAACACACACCCGGAGCAGTGGGCAGCCATTTTTTGCTGCGGCTCCCGGGGAGCAGTTGGGGGTTTTCCCAATTGTTCCATGTTCTAAATTCTGCCTTTGTTTTTCTCTATCAGGACAACTACACATTTGCCCAGCCTGGGATACAGATTAAAGTCAAGGCGCTGGAAGAGCTCGTTAGCAGAATTGATGGTAAGATCATGTTGACGAACACATCATCTACTAATTCCTTTCACGCTGCATAGAATTAAAGGAATTGTTTGTGCCAAAATAAGAATTTTGATTATTTGCTCACTCTCATGTTCTTTAAAAAAATATCTCAGAACTACTAAATACTGAAAAACAAAATTAAATTGAATAAAAATCAATATTCTAAGGTTAAATTCCCATTTGGAATTGAACAGCCCCTGGTCACTGTATGTTTTCATTGTGAGAAAAGAGCAGCGTGAACATTCTTTCAAATTTCTCATTTTGTGTTCCTATGGAAAAAAACAATTTGCAACAAAATCAGAATGAGTAAATGATTACAAAATTTTAATATTTGGGTGAAATTGTTGTTTAAAATATTTGGGGTAGTTGGTCCTGGTCGCCAAACAGGTTACCTTTGAAGCTACTTGAAAGAAATCACACTCTTTTTGCACTTTGTTTTTGACGTTTTAACAAAGCTGTACTCATAGATATATTTATTTCTTTTGTCAGTTGTTGTAGCTGTTGTTCTGTTAAGGAGCATAAAAGTTTTGACAGGTTTCTATGAATAGTTCAAATGTAGTCGTCAAAGCTGCTTTAGGCCCAACCGTGTGCCACTTTTTGTGCTTTTTGCGATGCGTCAGATTTTTATTTTATTTTTTTAACACCCTCAGAAGCTTCAGCACGAATGACACGTCATGACTGCCAGAACAAAATGGCAGAGTCTGGAGTCCCTCAAATGATCCTATCTATTTTGCCCTTTGCCCTCCAGAATGATGTGAACAAGTTGTCTCGGACCTTAAATAGCAGTGCAAAATGTTCAAAACAACAAGGAGTTGTTTTTCTGCCAGGGTGCGATCTTGTTCATCGCCTTGGAAAAGACTTGTTTTCCCATGGTGTTGGCCGTTTCTGTTTCTTGGAATCACACGTTTCCATTATGCCACTAGTCCGCCTCTGTTTTTTATCCTTGAGAGTGTTTATACCATCTGGACGCCTCCTCCCCTGTTCGCAGTGTTTGGTGTGATAAGCTGAACAGCCCACACTGAAACTCTCGGTGAGAGCCGCCGCGCTCCTCTTTCCCATCCATCAGCATCCATGAGCACCGTGAGCAATAGCAGACCCCACAGTCTCACCGGGGGGCACAGGAGAGAAATCAATTCCCCATAAGCCCCTGCGATTAGGGTGTGAAGGCAAACGGAAGTGAGCTTGAGTGGAGAGACGAGTGGAGTGGACTGAGCAAAGGGAAAACAAATCACACTTTCAGAAGACTATAAGAAAATTCACTAGCAAGTAGAGGTTTTTTTTGCTTCTGAATCGATGTTAACCGTTCACCTTCCCAGTTTAACATGTTAATATGTTATGTAATATATAATTTAGCATATTATTGAGTATATTTAACAGTCCTTAAGGCTGGTATTGAATGTGCTTGACGACTATTAGTTATTTTTTTAAAAAGCATAAAAATAAGTGTTTTTGCAAAATGTTTGTGTGTTTATATATATATATATATATATTATTGCTGTGATGTAAAGCTGACTTTCAGCATCATTACTCCAGCGTTCAGTATCACATGATCCTTCAGAAATCATTCTTATATGATGATTTGCTGCTCAATAACTAATACTCTTTATTATTATTATTATTATTATTATTATTATTATTATTATTATTATAAACCATTATAAAGACTAAAATAATTGGGATGCTGTCCAAAGCGTTTGCTATTGGTGTTTTTTTTATTTTTTATTTACTGCACACATTTACCACGGAGGACCAAGAAAAAAAATTTATTTGTAAGGTATTTTTCAGAAAATGACAGTGGTTTCAATTTTGTGGCACAAGAAATTGTTTGCAAATATTTTATACTTGCATTTTGCTTGCTGGAATCGGAATCATTATGAACAAACCTTTTGTTGTTTTTTTAAAGAAGTGGGATTGAGAAAGAAGTTAATTTTTGATCATGTTCAATCCTCACACCAATGACTCGCTCCATTAGTTGAATCCATTATGATGCAACCCTTATGTAACATCTCGAAGATCATTCATTGTTTAAACCTTTTTTTTTTTATATATATTGTTTTTGCTTTTATTCGTGGCAGTAAGAGTTTCCATTTTCCTTCTGATAGGTCCGACTTCAGTTCTCAGTACATTCAGAGACCCGTCACATTTTCTCCATCAATATTTATCAGGAGTCTAGTCAATACAGCCACTTTCGAAAGCCATTCTTATTCTGGTCAAAGGCTGAACGAGAGCTTATCAGAAAAATCCCTCTCTCAATGAGCTAAGCACCAGGCCTACTTTTCCCTTCCACCCAAACCTTCTGTCTCTCTCTCACTCTCTCTCTATTTAATCGAATATAATTCCACACGCGTTAGGGGTCTATAATGTTAATTCAGTAAAACAGGTGTGGGTAGAATTCAACAATAGCTGGTGATCTTAGTTCAGGGCCAGAGTGCTTCTTTAAACAATGGGGGTCTATATATGGTTTACAAAAGCTACTCCCAGTGCAGCACTTTGCTGAAACTACCAGCAAATAGATATAACCCCCCTGTGCTTTCTTCTCTACGCCCACAGAGGATGTCCACGTGCACTTTCAGAAGTGTGAGGTGGAGTATCTGCAGTTTGCTTTCCGCTGGATGAATAATCTACTGATGCGGGAGCTGCCGCTGCGCTGTACCATTCGCCTGTGGGACACCTACCAGGTACAGCTGCACCAACACCAGCCAAAACATGTCGGAAAAGCTTTCACGTGTGCTTTTGTGTTAAATTTATGTGTCATTTATCTGATGATTTTATTCAAAGTGGCCTGGGGTTAAGTGTCTTGATCAAGAACAATGGTGATGGTTCATGGATCAGCTATGTGTTTTAACCTGCAAACTTTTGGTTACCAGCCCAGAACTTGAACCTCTAGTGGGAGTGTACTTAATTGTGCTTAGGATTTGTTTTTCAATTCGGTTACTTTGGTGATAACATAATTATTTTTAATAATATGCTGACTACACAATTTGCCTGTAATGAAGCAGGGGTGTCGTAATTGTTGCTGCTACTAGAAATGTCTAAGTTTGCTATTCCCCAACTTTTTGGAAATAATCATTGTACCACCTAATAAATAGTAATTAATATCACAATACATACTTGAACGTAGGCATAGAATTGTGAATTAAGAAGAAGAAAAATATTAAATAAAAAGATTATTACAAAATAATATCTGCAGTTTGCTTTCCGCTGGATGAATAATCTACTGATGCGGGAGCTGCCGCTGCGCTGTACCATTCGCCTGTGGGACACCTACCAGGTACAGCTGCACCAACACCAGCCAAAACATGTCGGAAAAGCTTTCACGTGTGCTTTTGTGTTAAATTTATGTGTCATTTATCTGATGATTTTATTCAAAGTGGCCTGGGGTTAAGTGTCTTGATCAAGAACAATGGTGATGGTTCATGGATCAGCTATGTGTTTTAACCTGCAAACTTTTGGTTACCAGCCCAGAACTTGAACCTCTAGTGGGAGTGTACTTAATTGTGCTTAGGATTTGTTTTTCAATTCGGTTACTTTGGTGATAACATAATTATTTTTAATAATATGCTGACTACACAATTTGCCTGTAATGAAGCAGGGGTGTCGTAATTGTTGCTGCTACTAGAAATGTCTAAGTTTGCTATTCCCCAACTTTTTGGAAATAATCATTGTACCACCTAATAAATAGTAATTAATATCACAATACATACTTGAACGTAGGCATAGAATTGTGAATTAAGAAGAAGAAAAATATTAAATAAAAAGATTATTACAAAATAATAAAGAATAATATATAATTTAATTGTAATGTTGTTTCAATAATGATTCTTATTTGTTAAATAATATAAATTAATAGTAAGATTAAATATAGAAGTTTCTGCATACATAGAAATGTGATTTAATGTCTATAACAACAATAATAATATAACTATTATTCTTCTATAGCTTTTGATTATTATTATTTTTTATTATAATAATAATAATGTTTAATGTTCATATTTATGATATACTGTTATATTTTATACATATTCAAATATTTATACCACATTTTACATTCAGAATATTGTCATTTTTGATTAACTATTTTGGTTTTGGATTAAAAAATGAGCATGTTTTAATTATAAAAAACTTTTAATGTTTATTAGGTTTATAAATAGGTTATTAATGCAGAAATAATAATAATAATAATAATAATGCTTTTTGGCCAATTCAGAAAATGATTTTCATTGAGTGCATATGTATTTATTTATTTTTTTTTATTATTTTTTTTTTTTTTAGTATAATTTAATTTGGTTATAGTATAATTGATTATTAAATTCCATAATTGATGCCATTTTACACCCCTATGTCACCTGCCATTACGTGGTTTCCTGGAAGAATGCATACTCCCATGAATGATTGCTAATCTTCAAATAATATTTTAAATGCTTGTGAGGTTATGGGTGACATGTCCTTGAAGACCATGCTGCTCATACATTTTTTTTTTTCTTGTTAAAATGGCAAAAGGTGTGAACTGCTCATATCCCTGTCATTCATTAATATTCTTTTGAAGAGTTTCCTTCTGATTTCCTTTTCGTGTCCCATCTGCATGTCCTCTCTCAGACTTCCTTTTGATATATCTCCTTGCTCATTTCTTTGTCCTTTACATCTGCCTTTGTCTATCTGCCGCTTCATCTCTCATGCATGGCGTTTTGACGTGGATCCATTTCCACAAGGTGGGTTTTATTGGATAAAGGGGAATAGTTGTCAGGTGACAAGTGCGATCCGAGAGAGGAAATGGTGACTGGTGAACCATTATGCATGCTTGCATGTCATTTGTTTCTGTTCGTTTTGAATCAGTGATGTTGCCAAACATTATTGATGGGCATTTTGGATCATCAGCTTCTTAAAGGCAACATATAGAACACCTTTAACATATTTTGACACTATTTTTCTTATACATATTTGTAAAATTTTACGGGAAAAAATTACTGAATGTACCTACTGAATGTGACAAGCACAGTTTTCCTCTGGTTATTTTCCATCGGTTTTTCATTCTCGGTTCCAGCTTTTTTTTTTTTGGTCTTTATTTCCTCAGGCGTTTTTCACAGCAGGGTCAGGGCCGGGGTGAGCAAGAAAGGTGGCATTCACCCACCTCACTGAGGTAGAGGCGGGAAGTGTGTCAATGAGGCCAGCCGAACACACAGAGAAAAACTGAGCCTTGATGTATATGTTTTCAAGGTCAAATCACGCTTAAACTATCCATAACCTGCCCTGCCACCTTCACACATCAATGTATGCAAATTTAATGATAAATCAAAGAGAGACATGCAGATCAATTGTTTACATTTTTTTTAATGTTTTACCTCAGAACAAATCCTTAGAAAGGGCCTAAATCCTGGACATTCACAATGCATTTAACTTGCGTAGTGTGCTGTACTATGTCAGAATACAAAATATAACAGAATGTTTGGTGGGAATAATGTTGTTTGGTAATGTAAAAGTTTGGAGTTAATTTTTTTTGTCTTAATTTATTTAATCACAAATGCAGTACAAACTGACTGTAAAATTGTGAAAAATTATTATAATGTAAAATAACTTTTCTATTTGAATATATTTTAAAATTTAATTTATTCCTGTGATGGTAAAGCTGAATTTTCAACAGCCATTACACCAGTCTTTAGTTTCACATGATCCTTCAGAAATCATTCTGATATGCTGATTTGCTGCTCAATTATCTAGAATTTCTTCTTCTTATTATTATTATTATTATAAACTTTGATTTTTTTTCAGGATTCTTTGAATAGAAAGTTAAAAAAACAGCTTTTATTTGAAGTAGAAGTCTTTTGTAACGTTATAAATGTTTTTTGATCAATTAAATGCATCCTTGCTGAATAAATGTATTAATTTCTTGAGTAATGGCTACTCAAAATTCAGCTCTTTCATCACAGAATATTAAAATAAAAAATTCTTTATAAATTGTCTTTTTTAAATTACAATATTACTGTTTTATTGTATTTTTGTTAAAATAAATGCAGCCTTAGTGCGTATTAGAGAGACGTATAGGAAGTGTAATCTTAATTATTCATAACTTATTATATTTTTCACTACCTACGTGATGTTAAATTCTTGACTTTTAGAGTTTTGACTCATAGAAGAACAAATACAATAGACCTGATCTCCATTTCAATATACCTTGGAGATTTGTGTTAGAATAGATTTGTTTTTAAAATGTTGAACAAATTGGTAGAAGGTTGTGTAAAATATAAAGTAGCTTGATGCTGCATTGGCAGTGGGTGCCTATAAAGCAAAACTTGAGCGTATCTGCACAGAACTGGCTGATGAATATGAATGAATTCTCATGAGTGGGCAGTCCAGGTTATGTAGCAACATCTGCATGATCCAGTTCATATTCATTAGCTCAGCCATTACTTATTGTGACATCATAATGAGCTTCAAAACCTTTTGTATTTTTTTGTATTTATGATAACCTGAACTGATGAAGCGTGCACAGTAAGGCAAGCAGATTGGGGACAATTTGATTTCATGTTGCCATCTACCATTAATTACAGTCCTTTTTATTGTCATTTTGTATTGTTCAAATGACACTTTGGGCTTTTCTGATAACACTGAATAATATGTTCCTGATTAATTGTTAATGAATACATTCATTGGCATACAGTGAGCAGACACATGTTGCATGTTCTGTGGACCGGAGCAAGTTGATTAGATGAGGGCGTTTTGTCCAAAAAGGCAGAGAAAAGAGCCTTAACTTCTCCTGGGCTCCTTTATCAGGTCCCTCCTGTAATTGCACGTTTGGCACAAAAGACTTACTCCTCAAGATCAATTAGAAGTGCACAAAAAGCTCAGGCCAGAAAGAAAGAGATGTGGTCGAAAGAAATGAAGAAGGAGAGAGAGAAAGAGCTGTGAAGACAAAAAGGAAAGGCATGTTAATGTCTGACTGATGTTCTGAAGCATCTGCATCTCACGTCCCCTCCATTAGCGAGATGGGTTCTGTTTAGGGCTGTGAATCTTTGGGTAGACAGAGAATCGATTCAATTCACGATTCATAGGTTTTCGATTCGATTCAAGACCGATTTTTGCAAATTCAGAACGATTCGATTCACAGTTAAATTCGATTCGATTCGATTAATGATTTGATTCTGCATTCTTTAAGTGCATTCACAGATTATTTAAATGCTTCCCCTAAATTCTTTAAATGCTTAGTCAGGAGGCATATTACACAGCAGCCTTTATGGTTACATAAACCATAGGTTAGAGAAAAAAAAAACACTTTTGTCCATTGTTAGATGCTAGTTTAATTATGCTATGGCATGACATGGCATATGTAGAAATTTATGTAAGCCAAGATAAAAAAATAAAAAAAAGAGCTTTAAAAAAGTATTATGTATAGGCTAACATTTTGTCACACCAGGGGCATAGCCATCATTTCAGAAGTGACAGAAATGTCAAATACAATAATTTTATGTATGTATGTATTATTATTATATATATATTTTTACAAGAAAT